TTTAATATATTACAGTATATTATAAATAAATAAATAAAACAAATAATTCGGTAAATCTATTTAAAGTAAATGGAAAATAAGCAAACATGTTATTTACCAAGACCCTTCCGTCTGGCTCAGGGTGAGATGTAGGGGAGATAAAGAAGGCTATTTATAGCCCATCAGAAGTGACCAGTACCCTAATGCACCATAAATAATTCATTGAACATTCATTTTTTGTACATAGTATATTCAGTATATATATATATATATATATATATATATATATATATATATATATATATATATATATATATATATATATATATATATATATATATATATATATATATATATATATATATATATATATATGTGTAATAAATGTATGTAGTAAGTACATACTGGTAACCTTTTTCACTCAAATCCTAATGAAACACCACAATTAGAATACGGTGGTTGCTGTTGAACCACATGTTGTATAAATAGTCACACCACCGAGACGAGGGAACACTCCCAACACGCTTCAGTGACGTCACTAGTGTTTACACTACACCAGCGGGTATAATTTGATGACATTACTTGAAGTGAATTGGCCTTATTTTAAAAAATCAAGGATGGTTGGTAAAGGACTACTGAGTCAGTGGGTAAGTGTCACATTTGGGGTACTGGTCTTATACAGCAAATAGAGCTCAAAAGCTACTTTTTAAATGGAAATTTGGGGGGGGGGGCGTCTTATGCACCCCGCCACCTTATAGGCCGTGATATACGGTAGTACATGTACAATACAGGTTTGTTCCACGGTAAAATCTTTTGAACAACGAAAGAAAGCGAAAGTCATTGTTTTCGTCATGATTTTATCCCACTTTCCACTGTAATACGTACGTCATTTCAGCAAAAATATTACATTCCATATTTGTTTCTGAGAATATATTCATTCAGTCACAGTTAAGGTAAAATATACTTGTGATGTAATATTTAAATGAAAATACCCGGTATTTAGAAATACAGTACCAGTGGCCCTTCGTTTTTCGCCATTTACGAACTTTCATAGCGGGTTTTTTCCACGTATACGCGGTGAGTGTCCGGCTCGAGAGCTATTTTTAGATTCGCCCCACCCGCCACCCTGCCTGCCTGTTTTAGCTCATAAAATTCATACAAATTACCCGGCCAGAATATAATTTACATTGCTGGAATTCTTACAATATGATGATCATTTTGAATATAAACATCAAAGATTTTGCATTAGACATACAAATTTTAGATATAATGTTTACTCTGAGTAAATATGTTATTTTTTGTGCAAAATATATGACATTTGTATTAAAAATATTCCTGGTCTTACAAGGAATCCAGCAATGTCAATTATATTATCCTAACTTTAGTTTGAGGTATTATTTATTACAAAAAAGTTAAGTATTCTGGTTTTCCCACACATCTCCTTGGGATGGTTGGTGGGGGGGAGGGAGGGAGGGACTGACCGACCGACCATCTGTTACCCTGTGAAGAATATTTTTTTTTTTTTATTAACTGAAGATATTTGTTTTAGCTCATAAATTTCATACAAATTACCCGGTCAGAATATAATTTACATTGCTGGAATTCTTATAATTTGATGATCATTTTGAATATAAACATCATATATTTTGCATTAGACATACAAATTTTAGATAAAATGTTTTCTCTAGTAAATATGTTATCTTTTGTGCAAAATATATGACATTTATACTCAAAATATTCCTGGTCTTACAAGGAATCCAGCAATGTCAATTATATTATCCTAACTTTAATCTGAGGTATTATTTAATACAAAATGTTAAAATTTATTTTTTTCACCCACCCTTTCTCTTGAAGTGAGGATTGGTGGGGGGTGGGGGGAGGGTTGGGACTGACCGCGCGGTTGGAAGAGGGGGGGAGGCAAGGTGGGGTACTTTGATTGACAGATAGTGTCGTGAAGAATATTTTTTTTTTATTAACTGAAGATATTTGTTTTAGCTCATAAAATTCATACAAATTACCCGGCCAGAATATAATTTACATTGCTGGAATTCTTACAATTTGGTGATCATTTTGAATATAAACATCATATATTTTGCATTAGACATACAAATTTTAGATAAAATGTTTTCTCTGAGTAAATATGTTCTCTTTTGTGCAAAATATATGACATTTATATTCAAAATATTCCTGGTCTTACAAGGAATCCAGCAATGTCAATTGTATTATCCTAACTTTAGTTTGAGGTATTATTTATTAAAATTTAGTGGTTTCCCCCAAAAATTTCTCAGAGAGGGAAGAGCCGGCAGTGTAGTGTGAGAGGGGGAGGGAGTTGAGTCCATTATTTGAATGGACATTAACTTGGCGACTGTATTTCTCCATTTCTCTTAAGTATTAATTGTGTGCATGTACCATCATAAAATTAAGATGTTATTTTTACTACAACATAGGTATGTGCCTTCAAAAAGTGGAGTTTGGGGGTCGGGCCGGTTTCTATTGGAATTAATCCCATATGTTCTGTTGTTCACTTAACGCGGATTTCACTTAACGCGGGACCCTCTGGGTTCAATTGACCGCGTTAAGTGGGGTACAACTGTATCGTAGTTTTCTCTTGTTTCAAAATTAATTAACAAAGATTGATGTTTCAAATGTAATGAACAAAAATTTATGTCCAGTATCTATAAATTAACTTTAATAAATGAATACTTTGTTTTACATCATCCTGTGCTACCATACCATGGATTTGGCTACTTTGGGCTCGCAAGAGATCTGCCCTGGCAACTGTACCGACACTCACAGCTGGTGGTGTGTTGGTGCATCGTTTCCATTGTTTACTGGAAGTTACTAGTAAATATTTTTCAACCTAACGAAACTATTACCCATTTAGAGGTCGACCCTCAATTTTTGCCAAATAATTTGGTCTTAAAAACTCGAACTACACACAGGTATATACGGTAAATAAGGACATGGGGGCCAGGGGTGTTTTTAGGGAAGGGGGGGGGGGGCAGCAAAAATACGCGGATTTTTAACATTCACGGGTATCTCTGTTACCTAACCCCCGCGTATGTTAAGGGCCAACTGTATGTCGCTTTTGCGTTATCAGTGACATCATATGACGTATCGGACTGTGATTGGGCCACGCATCCCTACCTCCCTCCCCCGCTAGCTGTGATTGGCTTAATGTAATATGACGTGCCCTGCCACGGGAGGGAAGAAGTCGCTGACCTAGCCGAGACTGTCTCACTGTTCTCAGTTCTCAACGTATACAGTTCTCTCTTGTGCCCTCTATTCCCCTCACAATTCACAATGGCTTCTGCGGGACCCCCTCCACCAGAGAAAAACATTGAATTACCTGGACTAAGACATGATGATGTGAAGGAAATCATCGAGTTGGGGGAGAAACTTAAGCTCATCCATGCCAAGGACCCAAACAAGCATCGGTACGAAGCGTCTATTAACCATCTGACGAAATTTATGGAGCCGTATATCCAGATATGTATCGACAACATCAATGCTAGTCGTCAACGTAATATTGAGGACTTCCTCGCCCGCAACCCACCGCAACCACAGCCAGCCCAAGTCAGTGATAGTGGTATTGAGAGTGAGGATATGAACTTTGAGGGGTTTGTCTGGGAGGCCCTGCAAACCTCTGCGAGTAGTGAAAGTGATTCACCGGAGGGCAACTAATCTGCCCTCTGCCTCGGAACCAGCCGCCAGTCCCGTACGCCGACCCATCTCTTCTAATAACGTAAGTATTAAACCTAACCAAACCTTAATTTTTTCTAACCTAACCGAAGTGTTAAACCTTGATTTTTTTCTAACCTAACCTGACGTAAGTGTTAAACCTTGATTCTTCTTTTACCTGGTTCAGTATATTACAGTATTCACTTATTGATATTTTTCTTCAATATTATGTGTGTGTGCATACCATCATAAAGCTAAAATACTATTTTTATTACAACGTAGGTATTGTGTCTGAAAAAGTGTTTTTTGGGGGTCGGCCCAGTCTCTATTTCAATTACAGTTGGCCCTTAACATACCCGGGGGTTACGTAACAGAGATAGCCATGAAAGTTAAAATCTAGTATGTATGTAACCTTTACCCCCCATGTCCTTATTTACCGTATATACCTGTGTGTAGTTCGAGTTTTTAAGACCAAATTATTTGGCAAAAAATTGGGGGTCGACCTCTAAAAGGGGTAATAATTTCATTACGTTGAAAAATATTTGCCAGTAACTACCAGTAAACAATGGAAACGATGGCCAACGCACCACCAGCTGTGAGTGTCGGTACAGTTGCCAGGGCAGATCTCTTGCGTCATCATAGCAAGCCCAAAGTAGCCAAATCCATGGTATGGTAGCACAGGACGATGTAAAACATAAAGTATTCATTTATTAAAGTTTATTTATAGATACTGGACATAAATTTTTGTTCATTACATTTGAAACATCAATCTTTGTTAATTAAATTTGAAACAAAAGAAAACTACGATACCGTATTTTCATTAAAATATTACATCACAAGTATATTTTACCTTAACTGTGACTGAATGAATATACGTATTCTCAGAAATAAATATAGAAATGTAATATTGTTGCTGGAATGACGAACATATTACAGTGGAAAGTGGGATAAAATTGTGACGAAAGCAAATGACTTTCGCTTTCTTTCGTTATTCAAAAGATTTTACCGTAATCGCTTTTCGAATGGTTTTCAGTTAAAAAACTGTTGTACTCGTACTGTATTACAATAATATTCTATCCTATCATTAGCCTTATAATCCCACAACTGAAAACCATTCGAAAAGCGATTACGGTAACATCTTTTGAACGAAAGAAAGAGAAAGTCATTTGCTTTCATCACTTTCCACTGTAATACGTACAGTACTGTACATCATTTCAGCAAAAATATTACATTTCCATGTTCTCAGAAATAAATGGTAGTTTTGTTGAAACGTAATGTACAGTATTTAATATTAAAATGCAAAAATAGCTATAAAAACAATTAATACACCCTTAATGTACTGGCTGGCATCTCGTCCCTGGTCCCTGCTCCCGAGTCCAAGGTCACCACTCCTCCCAACTCGCTCCCTCCTCACCATCACTACTGCCGACAACGAACACAAATGTTTTGTGAATAACTGCACCTCCACTTCCTATGTACAGTACTGAACTGTACTGTGCTGTGCATTTTTACAAACAATAAACATGGCAAGAAAAGCTAATAAAAAAAAAGAGATTATAATTTCACTTTACTGTACAGTACCTATCCTTGGCGACAGGACGGGGGTCCTCGGGCTCATCGTCACTCAATTCCATAATGGGTGGTGAAGTTGGGGCGACGGTGGATTCAGCTGCTTCCTCACTGCCGCCAGTGATTGATGGTGTTAAATCTCTCCTTCGGTGTTCAAAGAACATGGTGATGGGGAGTTGTCGTCTCTTTCATTCATTTCTTCCATGATGTTTTTGTATGGAGCGAAAACGTCATCCATCCCTCGCATGAATTTCAGGGCACGCACCATGGAGGGGTCCATACTATAGGCCAGGTTTTTCAGTGCCTCAATATTCCTGGTCATCTCTCCCAACTTCTCCAACGTTATTTCTTGGTGCTCTTCCTCATCCTCTTTCCCTTCCTCTTCCTCTTCCTTGCCTGAGTCTACTAACTCCTGTATATCCTCCTCGGTCAGCTCAATGTCGTGCTCTTCAATTAGCCCCTAATCTCGTCCTCTGCCATGTCCTGGAAGCCTTCAGCAGCCACTTTCCTTGACAGTGCCAGGGTCTTTCTGAATATTTTCATTTAAATCCATCAAAATCATTTTCCTTGTCATCGTCTTAAGCACCAAACAGCTACTCCCAGTCTTCTCCTTGAACAGGGCTAGAGGGTACGTGTTTTTCGAATCGTTTTCAATTAAAAAAATGTTACAGCACATGTATATTTTACCTAAACTGTGCCTGAATGAATATATTCTCAGAAATAAATAGTAGTTTTGCTGAAACGTGATGTATTTCAATGTAAAATAGGATAAAATACATGACGAAAACAAAAGACTTTACCTAACCTTCCAATGTTCAAGAGATGTTACTCGTTTTTTAATAGTTTTCGGTTAAAATACTGTTATATTACAATGATATATTCATACTGTGCTTGATATACTACATTCACGGAAATGTAATATTTTTGCTGAAATGACGTACGTATTATAGTGGAAAGTGGGATAAAATCGTGACGAAAACAATGACTTTCGCTTTCTTTCGTTCAAAGATTGTTGCATCGTTGAAATGGCTCAAACTGCTGCATCGCCAAGCACCAGGACAGAAGCTATTATTGCAATACAACAGTTTTTAACTGAAAACCATTCGAAAAGCGATTACGGTAACATCTTTGAACGAAAAGAAAGCGTCATTGCTTCGTCACTTCACTGTAACACGACGTCATTCCCAGCAAAATATTACATTTCATTCTCAGAAATAAATAGAAGTTTTGCTGGAAACGTAATGCATTTCAATGTAAATTAGGATAAATCTACAGAAACAAAAGACTTTACCTAACCTTCATCGCTAAGATATGTTAATAGTTGTTTTTAGTAGATAAGAGAAAGAGATTGACCCAACTGAGCCAATGATGGGTCTTGCATACATGGGCCCAGTTGGGTCAATCTCTTCATAAACCATTCAAATGGTTAGTTTCTTTACTAAATCCCCAGTTGGCAACATTTCTAACCCAATATCAAGAATAATATGGATCTGGGTTGATAAACTCACTAACTTACACACATTAATCATGATTTTAAACTGGCTGGCTTTGATGTAACGTCACTTTTAAAGGTCCTAGTTGATGATTTACTAGAGTTCCCTGCATTCCTGGATAACATTTCTACTGCCTGCCCTCGAAAGACGACTTCATCGCACCCTATCAAACTATGTATTAAGGATTGCAAATTGAATTCAATGGGTATTATGCTAAAAAAATTTGGTATGGGCAATGGGTAATCCACTTTCACCTGCATACAACCTATATATGGAATTCTTTTGAAAGAAACTATTATAATATTTACCACCTCAGCAGTCTGGCTTAGATATGTTGATGATGCATTATGTCCTGGGCCATGTAATGAGGACCCAAAAGCTTCCTGCCACAACTTAACAACTTAGCCCCCCGATCAAATCGTGGAATTAGGAGCATGACTGTAATCATTCCTAGACTGTCTGATACACAGAATAGGTAACATTTTTAAGTTCAGTATTTATAGAAAGCCAACTAATGTGTGTTCATACATTCAATTATTATTCTGTTCCAATTCATAATAAAGTCAAACCAGTCAGTATTTTCATCAATGTTTACGTATTGAGAATTTGCAGTCCGAATTCATCGATGAGGAAAATACAAATATATATATAATATTGGTTCAGTCCTTAAATAATTCTAGATCTTCATAGACAAATGCTTAAACATTACTAAGAAAACTTTTTATAGAACTGATCCTGGCCCACCCATGACCATAAGAATATCTTATTTACTACTACAAAAATTTCACACACATTCCTGCACAGCCAAACCCGAACGTCAATGGCATTTAAAACTCATACTGTTAAACAAATGTTAATCAAGAACTCCCCCAACAACACAATTGGTTGCATTTATAAAGTTCCTGCAAGCAATGTAATATGTTTTACTTAGGCCAGACAGGTAAAGATCTTGCAACTAGACTCAAACAACACAAATACAGTGTTAGACAGGTTGTGAATCCAATGCTCTGTTTGTTTATCGAGGATAAATGCTAACAGATTGACTGGGATAATGCCTCCCTCAATATTACCATGTAATCCAATTGATAGTAGAACATCATAGAACGGTCTTATTAAACATACCGAAGCATTCAACATGAATTTGAGTAACGTGTATGCCGGACAATTTTTGTAATTAAAGTATCGTGATCAGGTATAGCTGCCACTTGACCATCTGACCTGACCACCAACCGTCGTGTGCTATTTAAAGACAAGTAGGTCATTACCTAACAATACCTGACCATTGTGGGACTAACTCACCTCCTGTATATATACACCTTGGTTTTGTATTACTCTAGTCTGTACTCACTCCCTTGGAGATGTGAATTACACGAAAGCTGCTTGGGAACTTCTGTGTTTTCTTCTTTCTTGTGGGTTAATAGCATATATATATATATATATATATATATATATATATATATATATATATATATATATATATATATATATATATATATATATATATATATATATATATATATATATATATATATATATATATATATATATATATATATATATATATATATATATATATATATATATATATATATATACAGTTGGCCTCATAATATTGCTGGTTAATGTAAATCTGGAGGGTACCAAGGAAAGTGAATAACATAACATATGGGATTAATTGAAATGGAGTCCTGCCGATCCCCAAACTCACTTTTTGACGACAATAATAACTATGCGTTGTAGTAAAATATTATCTTAACTTTTAAGATGGCATGCACACAATAAACACAATTAAGAGAAATATCAATAATATTAGGTTTTAACACTTACATTAGTAGCAAAATTATACGGGGCACACGATGGGCGTTGGTTCCAGGCAGAGGGCATTATTGGCCCTCACCTGTATCACTTGTATCAATTGTATCATTATCCACCACAGAGGCTTCAGAAATTTCTTGTCAAACCCAAAGTTCATATATAAGTCCATATCCTCACTATAATTATCACTATCACTGACTTAGCTGGCTGTAGGTGGCGGTGAAGAACTGGTCATGTTTTTGATGATCGATGACCTTAGCGCATTTAATATTTCGGGCGCCTCTTACACAACATGGCGGATGGCGGAGGCTTAATTAAAATGGCGCGTCATAGCCGCCTCCGCATAATGGGGTTCACTACCGCGGAATGAAAATGTTAGGTTCTGGAAAAGGCAATGCGGCACGGTGAAACGCGAATGCGGACCGTAATATGAGGACCAACTGTGGTGTGTGTATATATATATATATATATATATATATATATATATATATATATATATATATATATATATATATATATATATATATATATATATATATATATATATATATATATATATATATATATATATATATATATAAATATATATATATATATATATATATATATATATATATATATATATATATATATATATAATAGTATTACCCGCCAACGCGGTTTCATTACGCGTTTTATCATACGCCGCCAGAGCTGAACTTCACTTAACACGGATTTTTTCCACATATACGCAGAATATAATTTACATTGAATTCATATAGATCATTTTGAATATAAACATCATATATTTTGCATTAGACATACAAATTTTAGATAAAAATTTTTCTCAGAGTAACTATGTTATCTTTTGTGCAAAATATATGACATTTATATTCAAAATATTCCTGGTCTTACAAGGAATCCAGCAATGTCAATTATATTATCCTAACTTTAGTTTGAGGTATTATTTATTAAAATTTAGTGGTTATCCCACACATCTCCTTGGGACAGTTGGTGGGGGGTGGGGGGGAGGGAGGGACCGACCGACCATCTGTTACCCGGTGAAGAATTATTATTTTTTTTATTAACTGAAGATATTTGTTTTAGCTCATAAAATTCATACAAATTACCCGGTCTGAATATAATTTACATTGCTGGAATTCTTATAATTTGATGATCATTTTGAATATAAACATCATATTTTTGCATTAGACATACAAATTTTAGATAAAAATTTTTCTCAAATTAACTATGTTATCTTTTGTGCAAAATATATGACATTTATATTCAAAATATTCCTGGTCTTACAAGGAATCCAGCAATGTCAATTATATTATCCTAACTTTAATCTGAGGTATTATTTAATACTAAATGTTAAAAACTCTGGAAGGGAGGATTGGTGGGGGGTGGGGGGGAGGGTTGGGACTGACCGCGCGGTTGGAAGAGGGGGGAGGCAAGGTGGGGTACATTGATTGACAGATAGTGTCGTGAAGATTATTTTTTTTTTTATTAACTGAAGATATTTGTTTTAGCTCATAAAATTCATACAAATTACCCGGTCAGAATATAATTTA